AGGGTTGGGGCTGGACAGGGACCCAGAAATGTAGGGTGGAAGGTACAGACTGGCAGAATTTGGGGCCCCACTGCCCTCTTTCCAACACATTTACACACACTCCCACCACACGGAACAAATGCAGAGAAAATGGCAGGACCTGCCAGAGAATTGGTTGGCTCACTTGCGTGGGAGGAATGCTGGAAGAAGGGGTGGCAGAAGGCACACTTGGAGGACTGGGCCAGGTCAAGGGAAGGCTGACAAGGGGCCAGTTACCAGTGCTGTCTGAACCTGCCTTCCACCCCAAGCCCTCAGTCTCCCCTGTCTTCTCTTTGTCTCCTCTTCCTCCCCATCCACCCTCAGGACAAGAAAAGGAGGGGACATCTTAACATGGAAAAACTCTGCAATGAAAATGAAGGAATGCCTGAGAACCAAGGAAAAATAGAAAACCAAGAACAGCCTTAGGATGTGGGAAGGCCAGAAACAGCTCTTACTCTGGAAGAAAAAGGAGTTAGAAAATGCGGAAAAGATAGAAAACAAGAGAAAGGCAGAAGATGAGGAAATACTAGAGGATAAAGAAAAACCAGAGAGTGTGGTAAAGACAAAAAAACGAAAGCCAGAGAGCCAGAGTAAGCCAAAAGAAGAATGGAAGCCAGCCAGCAAACCAAGGGCTGCAGGAAAGCACCCAGCTGGGGATGATATAACCAGGAAAGCCAAAAGAAAAAACAACAAGGGGCTGGTTCAGTGTCTCAAGGAATACAAGGAGGCCATACATAATATGCATTTGAGCAATGAGGAGATGATAAGAGAATTTGGCAAGACAGCTAGGATAGAGGACAAAGTAAAGAAAATGGAGGGAGCGCGGCATGTAGATGCAAAAATATTTATAGGATCCCTTACACCAGAGAGGCCCAAGAGAACTCAGGGTTGGCTGCAGGGCTCAAAAAAGATGCAGTGTGTGTGTGTGTGTGTGTGTGTGTGTGTGTGTGTGTGTGTGTGTATACACACACCTTACTGTTGAATTGCACATGAAACTTACTGGATTTTGTTAACCAATGTCATCATAAAAAAAAAACTCAAAAAAAAAAAAAAACCCCAAAAACAGAGACTTTGAAGACTTTCCTTTTGTGTAGTGCCTGGATAGGCATTTGCCAGGCCCTGGCCTTTAACCTTATGCTAATACTTTAAATGTCACTCTTGTTATCAGCCGCCTTTTGACCTAACTAGAGCACTCTAACAGCAGGAGATTTTCACCCATGTGCACTGCAAAGATATTATGATTCTTGGAAAAATAAAGCAGCGTATAATATCCACAGAATCAGTCCACTTGTGTAAAAAAAAACACCCATAAATTTATATAGTACATCTATGCACAGGAAAAATAGATAATTTTGTTCACTAAAAGGTTAACAATGTTTTTATGAGTTGTGATATTCTGGGTGATTTATCTTCTTTGTTCTCTTTCTACTCATCTGTTTATTTTTCCCTAAAGAACACAAATTACTTTTCTTCATAAAGAAATACTAAAATATAAAAAAGTAAATCAATGCATTAGAAAAGCAATACAAAGAACTATTCCGTAAGTTTATGAAGCAGTGGAGGCACTTAAAATTCTTGTCGGGTCTATGACCATACCATCCTGAACGTGCCCGATCTCGTCTGATCTCGGAAGCTAAGCAGGGTCGGGCCTGATTAGTACTTGGATGGGAGACCACCTAGGAATACCAGGTGCTATAGGTGTAAAAAAAAATTGCCAAAACTTAAAAATATGTAAAACTCACATTACCTCTGGGACTCGTATCTGGAGGAATCAACCTGGCAGCTATAATAGATCCATTGCTATAAAGGACAGGTTTTTTCATCTGAAACAGAGATCGTATTTGCCTAACAGGATTGCCAGGTGGATTAGATGAGGTACTGAATGTGTGAGCTGTGTTGGGCTTGCCTCTACCTTTTTCCCTACCCTAGTAGGACCAGAACCCCATCAGACACTTGTAAAAAGGTGAGGTACATCTCTCCTATACCCAGGAATAAGTCTAGGAAGCCAAAAGTTGGGTGTCGCCCTCCCCTGGGTACTGCCATATCTGCTGGGTACTGCTTCTCATTAGTCCTGCACTCTCTTAAGGACCCCACTGCTGCTGATGGGCTGGTGTCCTCAAGGAGACAAAGCCTAATTGGTTTCCCTGGAGGCCCCAGTGAATCCAAAACCTGCCCCAGCCATGACACCTGTAGAAGTGAGGATAAAGCCCTTTTTCTTTAGAGTTATGCTTACCCAAGTAGGTAACACCTCAGTGATGTTTTGGCCCCTAATGGATTTCAGATTTTTTTAGCAAAACAATCCTTTCTGTGTTGTTGTTGTTTTGTAAGTGTGTTTTTTGATACAGCCATCTTTCCACCAGATCGAGATATGAGAGGCTGAATTTGAGGGGCACACACTGTATTTTACTCGTCTGTCAGTGCCTTGTCTGTTTGATTCCTCTTTCCTTAGGGGAAATGATCTTCTAGAAAATTCCTGCCAGGTCCTGCCTTACAAGGTTCATACACCTACCCACAGATGTAGTGTTTAGAGCATTTCAAATAGTGGTCCATGGACCAGCTGTATCAGCATCACTTGAGAGACAATTAGAAATGCAGAACCTCAGGTCCCCCTCACAGATCTACTTAATCAGAATCTCCATTTTAACAATATCTGCAGGTGATTCTTGTGCACATTAAAGTTCGAGAAGCACTGGTTTATAAAGAGACTCCCCTCAACCATCCCACTCCCACCTATATATGAAATACATACCTAAAAGGATAAATTCATGTGCTACATAAGATACACATCATAGGTTATTAAAAAGACCTGTGTTCGTCGGACTGCAGTTCCACATCCTCTACATTAGTAGGGACTTAAATTCAATGAGTTATGACCCACAATTTTTTAAGGAAGTAGGGTAGAATAGAATTAATTAAAGCCAAATAGTAAGTATTAGATTATATTGCAGATAAGTAGAATGAGTATTTTTGTAAAATTTGTATTTCAGTTATGTACATATGTATATGTATATTTGTACATCCTGAGTTGTGATGAAAAAAAAAAGTCTTACTGATTGTGGGCTGAAGGGTGTGTGTGTGTGTGTGTGTGTGTGTTTTAATTGAGAAACATTGCATTAGACTGCTTCTCAAAGCACAATCTGTTCTTTCAATCCTGGTACCTCTAATGTCTAGCACTCTGCTCTGTGTCCTGGGGAATCTGACCTGTACGAACTACATAAAATGGACCCCTTGTCCTGTGGTCAGGAAATTTTCTTCCCAGCTTTTTCACTGAAGTGTCACCAGAAGATGGTTGAGTCTCTTCTCCAATGGGTCCTTGAAGATGACCCTTTCTACATAGGCTCTATATCTCCAGCTTTCAATAACCCCTCTTTATGTTCTTCAGGCCTAGGACTGATAATCCTACCTTCACTAGCAATAGAGTATTGCACTATCCCTTCTGGTTCTCCAACACCCTTCCTACACTTTGGATATTGTCCTTTAAAAAAAAAAAACTCTCTCAAACTTTTTTTTTTGCTTTTTCAACTTGGCTCCTTTTATTTAACAATATATATTTAAGATTCATCCATATCTTTTTGCAGCTTGGTAGCTCATTTCTTATTGTTGCTGAATAATATCCCATTCTATGGATGTACTACAGCTTGCTTATCCATTCATCTGTTAAAATACATCTGTCAAGCTTCCAATGTGAATGTGCCCCCTGTTTCTTGCCATATACTTTTCAGATGCAGTAATAGATACCATAAGTTACCCTAGGAATTATGTTGTTCATTTGAGATGGGAAAAAATAACCTCCTTACAAGGAGGTCAGAACAGTGGGGAGCAGGTGTTAAGAGAGGTTCACTGGTACATGGCATGCAGTAGTATTGCACCTACTCAAATTAACACTACGTGTAATGAAGTACTCAAAGTTTTTGTAAATTAAGTGGCTATGTCATTTAAACACTGTGTCAAAAATCATTATCAACAGGTTGTGGAGTCACCTATGTTTATCTGAAGGTCTTAAAGAACATGCATAGGAAAAACAGGAAAGTGAAAGCTATGAAAATGCAACAGAAAACATATATAGAGCACCAGAGAGCCTGCATGGCATGTTTGAAGGAGTCTCTCATCTTAGGGCAGATAAAGCTGAGAAACAAGCCCAGATACGCATATTGTCCCAGATTTCCACTGCCAATTAAATGCTCTATCTACTTGGACCTTTACAATAAGGTAGGGGCACTGGTAGTGAAAATATATAGCATAAGGTCATTTGTGCAGACATGCTCCAAGGCATTAAGAAATTCATTAGTGAGAGGATCATCAGCATCCTTGAAGATTTCTGTGGGCCTGTGCTCTGTAGGCTTGAGACAATGGTGAAGAATGCTTCAGTGGAATTGGGCTATTTGATCTTAACATGAATGAAAGGATCCCAGAGTGGTGGAGGTTGAGTGACAGTGCTTAATCATATGAGACAAGGTAAGTGCAATTATCACAATAAGCCACAGGGACGAAATGACAATTAGAAGATGTTTTACCTACAGAGATCTGTGGTGTTGGCTAATCAGAGCATTCCTAAAAATAAAATAATTGAGCAGCTTTTGAATGCTGCTCAATATATCCAGGCCAAAAAAAAAAAAAATCTAGGTCTGCTGGAAAACCTAATTTGAGATGCTGTGGTGAGGTTTTCTCAATTTCTTACCCAACTAAGGGCAATGCAGGGTACTTCTAAGGTAGAACCCTGCAGCCACTGGTGTATACTATGAATTTGCCATCAAATCTTTCCCAGTGAGACATGCAGACACTTTTCTGGGTGACTGTGTACTAAGGAAAGGGAAATATCAAGACCTTCTGGGAGTTATTAGCTAAAGGCTCCAAACTAGTGCTAATCTCTAGACTGAGGGACAGTGAGACAAAACGATAGATAATACAGAAAAGACTATGAGAGACTAATGGGGCATTGTGGGAAAAACATGAATTTGTAAGTAATCAAAGTCCCACAAGAAAAGGAGAATGGGGAGGAAACACTATGAAAAAATAATGGAAGATTGACTTCTGGAATGGCAGCATTAGGATCACCACTGACCTAATTCCCAGTGAAAATGGTAAAAATTATATTTAAAAAAAACACAACAACAATGAAAAGTCTTTGGAAATGGTCCTAAGTTAGGCAGGACAGTTAGCCTAGAGAAGTTCACCCTCCCTTCCAGGATGCCGCTCTGGAATTTTTCCTTAGTCTCTTTCTCAGCCCTCTCCCTGTTTTGATTAGGTTCATAAGACTCAGGGCCTGAGAAACAATCCAAGGCCTGGAGACAGGATAGATGGCCTTGAGACACCCCCACACTCAAGAAAACAAAAGCCCATAATTCAGACAGCTTGGAGCAGACTCTCTTTTAGAGTTTGCCTGCACTTTTCTCTTGTGTGTACTTTTGCTTTAATGAAACTTTGCACTTTCTTGCTTGCTGTTTGTTATGTCCTTGAATTCTTTCTTGCAGCATAAGACAAGAACCTGGTCACTGGAGCTCTGAGTCAGGGTCCCTATTTGGACTCTTGCCCTGTCCATCTCTCAGCATCATAAGGAGAAACAACAAATGAAGAAACATCCGTTCAGGAAAATCTACAGAAATTCATTAAGAAAGGTGAAAGAATGTAATATTTGAACCAAGACTGTTGCCTCCCCGCTTTCCAAGTTCAGTGATTTAGATACTCCATTCCAGACTACTGCAACCAAAATCACAGGGCTTCCTCTCCTGCAGCTCCCGGCCAGACTGCCTTCCTCACAAGAGGAGCAGGACTTTAACATTTCTCATCCTTATCCTAGCTTCTTGTTGCTGGGTCTAAGTCTTGGATGAGTTCAGTTGAGAAGTGGGGTTCCCTTCTACCCAACCCCCATTTGTGGAACAGAAAATATACCTGGGGCACGGTATGCTGAGGATACTGAAACCCTGATCACCCTTGATCTAGCTTATCAGGCTGTAAATGTAAGAATGTCTAAACCCGTAGAAAAAATTTATGAGTTTATTAGTGTTTTTTTTTGAGCTAAACAGAGGATACACCTGGAAGCAAGTTCTCAACAGACTGAGAAAAATGTTTTAAAGAATGACAATTTGCAATTTCTTTTATGCATTTGGAATTAAGTAGGGAAGGGAAAGTAAGGAAGATTACATGAAGATTGGGAAAAGCAAGGCTTGGATTACAGGATAGTTAACAAGATTATGTGCTCCCTTGAGGGTGGTTACACTTCCTAGAGGTCTGAAAAAGAGGTATTTCAAAGGTATGCTAACAGAAACAATGGACAGAGCTTCTTTAAGGCAAAGATAAACCTTCAAACTAAAGAAGTTATATGCCTGGGGTGTGACTACCCACCTTGAGTTGCTTAGTTAGGAATTTATGATCGGATCATCTGGTGAGGTTTCTTTCAGTTAGATTTATCACAGTGCCCCTTTTCATCCACAAGGTAGTAGTACTATGCCAGGAAAGGCAAGTTGAGAGGACTCTAGGCTGCTGCCCCTGCCCACTAAGGGCTCAGATCCTACACAGGGGTAGTATTCAGAAAGGTGCTTTCTATTGTCCCTACCCCGTTTCCAGAGCCCTTACTCAGACATTTTACCAGGGGGATAAGCAAGCCATAAAATGGTTCCTTATTTCTTCCCAAAGGAACTGGCTTTTCTGCAATAGCATTAAGAATCTTAAGCCTAAGGACACTCTCAAGAACAGTGATTGTTGTGAAAGGAAATTGGGAGGGTATTTGTGAATCTAATGAATATACAGCTTGGACTGTAGGCTGGCTGTTTGCAGGAGAGACCTAGGGACTATGACAGCTAGAGGAGCCCTCCTGGAGTCAGAGCAAATATCAAACACTGGCCTCAGAAACTATTCCTTTGAAGGAGCCACAATTCGATTGGATTAATTCATAAAGGAATTTATTTCTTTGGGCACTATTGAAAACAATAGAGCAATCAGCTAGCAATTAGTAGAATTTAGGAAGAATATCAATATTAAGAATATCAACTATATATATAGTACCCAAGAATATCAACTATATATATAGTACCCAAAAAAGAATATCAATATTAAGAATATCAACTATATATATAGTACCCAAGAATATCAACTATATATATAGTACCCAAAAAAGAATATCAATATTAAGAATATCAACTATATATATAGTACCCAAGAATATCAACTATATATATAGTACCCAAAAAAGAATATCAATATTAAGAATATCAACTATATATATAGTACCCAAGAATATCAACTATATATATAGTACCCAAAAAAGAATATCAATATTAAGAATATCAACTATATATATAGTACCCAAGAATATCAACTATATATATAGTACCCAAAAAAGAATATCAATATTAAGAATATCAACTATATATATAGTACCCA